ACGAAATGAGGTTCAAAGAAAAAGATATGAAGAAGATGAGGAATATAGAAAAACGAAGCAGGACTACAATAAAACATTTCAATCTAAAATTGTTAGTTGTTCTGTTTGTAATTGTTCAATGACCCAAGCAAATTACTATAAACATAAGAAAACAGAGAAGCATCAAAGAAATTTAGACAGGTCAGTAGTTAGGATTTTGTAAAAATGAATGAGGTAATGATGTATTGTCTGTTATGATTTTCTAAAATGAAAGAGGTATAATATGGTTAGTAGTGATGATTTTGAAAAATGAAAGAGGTAATCTATGATTAGTAGTGATGATTTTGAAAAAATGAAAGAGGTAATTATGTTTTGATATTGTTGAGAGAAAATGAAGCCATCAACAATATTTAAACTGACTTTTTTGACCGTTATGCTTTTTATGAATAATTGTTGAGTTGTTATACTGCTATGATATGAAATGTAAAATATTCTCAGGATCAATTTTTTATACTTTTTTTTGGGGGGGTTGTTGGTGTTGTTGAAAAGCACGGGCACAAAGGCACTGGCCAAGAAACCGAAATCGGCGCACCCTTAAGAATATTAACCTGACACCTGAAAAGCCTCTAGCAACGCACAAAAACCTGAGAGAAACGAAAATCCTAGAAGGAGAAAGAGCAAGACCGTGCGTGAATTACTCAGTGTGAAACGTGCGATAGCACTTGACAAAAAGTTAACCTGCAACCTGAAAAAACCTCTAGTAAGGAAGAAAGACCTAGAAAATGAAGCAAACCGAAAGAAGAAAAGCAAGACAGCAAACGCGTCCTACGAATACCTAGCAGCGTGACATTGACATGGCTTCTATGACTATGAATACTTAGCCGCGTGGCTCTGCAGCGTCGAATCAGCTATCTCGAGCAAGCGGCTGAGCCAGTGAGTTTCGAGCAAAGACGAAAAGCCAGTGAAAGTTCAGCCTTGAGAGCCTGTGCAAGAAGCGGGTTTCGGCGGGGATCACACAACAGACCTCTGTGCATGGGGCCCTGTTGCGTCACACACTTAGATCCGTGCTCGCAAGGGCTGTATCAGTTTGAGACTTCCCGTGAGGTACTTGCTGAGTACGTAGCGCTGGACTTGCAGAACCGTAAGAGTGAAGGGTCGGCTCAACAGAAGGTTGAACAAACGCATTAGCGCTTTACAAGGAAAATTGGGGTGTCAGTGACAGCCTGTGAACATCACAGCCAGAAACTTAACTTGATGCAGGTACGTCAGCAAGCGTCCTTGCCAGCGCAACCTGAAGAGCCTCTTTGTTGTGCCCTCTCTTCAGGTGTGGGGCATCCCCCCGCAATCTGTACATCCCTTTGGAACAGGAAGTGACACACACACATGTGCACACACACTTAGACTGATGCTCGCAAGAGCTAAATCAGTTGTGGCAGCCCACTGTAGTGATTAGATTACATTGCCAGTGCAGTTAGACCTTGACAGGCGAAACCCAAGGGATCCTGGCGTCTTAAACGGAAGTGAGGCCAAAAGCTCAAGTGCAAGTCTGCAGAGAAACCCAAAGGATCCTGGGATCTTAAACGGAAGTGAGGCCAAAAGCTCAAGTGCAAGTTGAAGGAACGCTTAAAAATTTGCGCAGGTGCGTTTTCACACCTGCCACTGCCGTTCTTCGTTGACCACAGCGGCAGTGGCAGGTCTGTGGCCCCCTGCTTGGTTAGTTGAACATATTAGGAGAATGAATTCCCGCGCAATGACGAGTGTCCTTTGGTACAGGTGTGGACGCACACACAGGGCCGTAAGCCGGCGCTCGCTCTTTTTCGTTGGCCGCAGGGATAAGAGAGAAAAGGGCGTGGGAGTGCATTGACTAAACAAACCTGGATGCCAACCTAACACGCCTGAAAGAAAGAACAAGGCAGACAAGAAGCCGAAACCGACGCTCCCTTGACTAAAAGGCCTGAATTATACCTAAAAAGCCTCTAGAAAACGAAAGAAGCCCGAGAAAACGAAGAGCAACAGCAGGAGAGAAAGA